GATGGAGCTTTTATAATGTGATTGGATCAGGAGTACATTAGCCTCATCAGTGGATGAGGTCATGGGGGTGTGACCTGGAGTATTATGTTTTGTCCTCCACCTCTACTTCTAGGGCTCTCCTCCCCCACTGCTTCCTGGCTAGCATGTGGTAGCAATTTTACTCTCACTCTCTTCCAGCATATTTCTGCCTTGCCACGGGCCTAAAAGGGATAGTCTTAGTCACTTTTTCATGGCTGGGACAAACTACCCAGCATCTACAATTTAAAAGAACAAAGGTTTATTTGGGCTCATGGTTTCTAGAGAATTCATTTCACAGTTGGCTGGCTCCAACAGGTAGGGCATAGTTCAAAGGACTTGAGGAAAGCTGCTGAAGTCATGGTGATGGCCAGGAAACAGAGGAAAGGGAAGAATGGGTGAGGGAGATAGACCCTTCCAGGTTACACCTCCACCGTCTCACCTCCAACCAGCCCCACCTCCTAATAACAACAGCTATCATGCTGCCATAATCCAGTCAGCTTCCAAACATGTGAGGTATTGAGGGCACAGAGTAAATTTAAACCATAACAAGAAGAGAGCTCTTGGTACCTTGGAAACCATCAGCCCAAACACCTATATACCTTTATTCCTTAAATTATTTTTCTCAGGCATTGTACTTGGTCACAGTGATGGAAAGCTAACTAATACAGATCAATACATACATGTTGCACAGAGAGCACATATGGAGGATTGGTGCATTTTTTGTGATGACAGAATGCTGGAAATAACATATGTCAACTGACAAGCTGTATAGACATTCATAAATAGAGGTGAATAAATTATGGTCAGGTACAAATGGAGGGCAGTGAAGACTTAAAAAACAGAGTGTGGGGATCTATATAGGCTCTGAAAATCTTGTAGGTGGTAAAAGCAGAGATGTAGTGGGTTCATGTGTGTATGTGTGTGTATACTGTGTATGCATGGACTATTTCTGGAAGGATATATAAGGAACTGTTAGTAATGAATGCCTTCTGGGAAAAGGGTCAGCAATAAGAAGACTTACACTTCATTGGGCACTCCTTTGTTAAATTATTTGATTCTTTGAAACACTCTGTACTTGTGCTTCCTTTTTAATAAAAAGTGATTTGAAAAATAGACTGAGAAAAAATATATAAATACATTTTTCAATTATCTGACACCGGTAGACAGCAAGTAATCACAGAGAATATTCTGTTTGTTTTGGGAGTTCTTTGAAAGGAGCCTCTTAGTTGTGGAAGAGTAAAAGTGGTAAAGCAAGATGGTACCAGTTGCCCTGGAGGAGTCTTTTTTTTTTTAATAGATTGACCAAAAATGCTCTTTTTAATATCTACTCAAATGTAGATCTGGTCACTTGGAAGTATGTGTAAATTTTCACAGGGACAGAGGAGATTCTCCGGAGTGAAAGGCTGAAACCTGAAGACCAAGACCCTTTTAAGGCTTAAAACCTTTTCATTTCTGATATGCTTAAGTGATCTTCAGGCAGTTCTGTTGGGAACAAGTAACATGCCAGCTGGACCTTGGGAAAGGAAAGAGCTTATGAAAGGTTCCTGCAGCTGGAAGGATAATGGAAGGATAATGGGAAAGTGAGAAAAGACTGGGGCAATGAAACAGACAGCAAAGTGCCATGAGATTAGTGATGTGGGCATAGGTAGGATCCAGCAGGGCTCGTGTCTGTAATTAATAATGTTTGGAGGCTACAGATATCTCAGTGGTAGATGATGTTCTTAGCATGCAAAAGTTTAAGGTCCTGGGTTCCATCAACAGCTCCCACTCACCCTAGCCAAAACAAAAATGTTGTTTTTCAGTTTAATACCACTTGAAAGCCATTGAAAGACTTGAAGTAGAGGGAAGTCACAGTGAAAGCTGCATTTCATGTGCTTGTTTTGGCTCCTCCATTGAGCTTGATGAGGAATGGGGAACAGTACAAGAATGGATTCTGGGAAATGATTAGAAGTCTGTAACTATAAATCAGAAATTCAGGCAGCTCAAAGTAGGATGGAGGGAATGAAGCTGAGGGAAAGTGGATATATTTGAATCACACAGAATTTAAGAAACCACAAGATTCATTTTTGTGGTTGGCGGGTGGACTTGAAGGAGAGGGAGATGTCAAAAATGACTCCCAGTGTTTTGGTTTGCCTGAGTTGGATGGGGATACCTTTCACCAAGCCTGGAAACTTGAGAGGCAGACAGGTTTAAATGGGAGGATATGAGTGTTATTGGAAGATGTTGAATCTGAAGTCCATTTTAAATAGTTGGGGATGGGGGGAGTCAAGTGGCCATGCTGGTTCAGCAGTGTTATGAATAGTCAAGTTCTCAGCTAGAGCTGGAGATTTCCTTTTTCTTTTTAGTCAGAGTATGTGAATTTTATTGGAAGCCATAGGTGTGGATGAGATTTTTTGAGTAGAAAAATAAGTCATAAAGGAAAAGGCATTAGCCACCTTCTATCCTTAACTGTTGTATGTTGTTAGAGGAGAAGGAAGCTGAGAAATTGTAAGTGAAAGATTTGACCCCAGAGAAAGGGTAATGAGAGGACACAGAACAAAGCCAAAGTGTGGCATTTCCAAAGATAATAATGTAATAAATCCCTATGATCATTTGATTTCTTCTTGTGTTATGAAATTAATGAGAGTATTTAGTGATAAGCAAGAATTGAAGACATCTTTGTTTATCAAGAAAAATATCTGTTTTAAATTAACTATTTTTTGCAGTACTGAGGATTGAACCCAGGGCATTCACACTAAGTTACAACCCAAGTCCCTTTATTGATGTTTTTAAATTTGGACACAGGTGGCACTAGGTCACTTGCAGGCTGGGCTTGACCTAGCAGTCCTCCTGCCTCAGCCTCACAGAGTGCTGGGATTATAGGAATGCATAACCACAGCCAGTTTAAATTATCTATTCTTAAATTGTTTTCAGGAAAACTAATGAAGCTAAACAATAATTTAAATACCAAAACAACAACAACAACAACAACAAAACTAATACCAGAAGAATAAAATGGCCTGTTTTCATCTATACTTTCTACCCCAGACCTATCCTTTTATCATTGGTGCCATAGATTTTTGGGAGATTGCTCCTGAGGGTCACTAATAAGAATGGAACGTCTAGCCCAGCCTTCTTCAGCTGTTACAGGATTCGGGGAGAATGACTATTTTTCTCTGTGTCTCTGCTTAGTTCTTGAAAGACAGAGTTACCTGTTCTCTGCCAGATGCTGTCTGACAGGTGCTTCTCGGGATTCTGTTGCCATCGAGTCCTAACCGGAAGACTACCTTATCAAGGCATCCTTGAGCCAGGCCCAATGTTTGCCATTTGTGTCTCTAACGATAAATATCAAAGAAGTCTAGTCCTTTATAAGTCTCAAAATTCTACTCGTTGGGTAAAAGTAGATAAAAGTATGGAGGGTGCGTTTCAAAAGGAGTTTTCATTGTCTCCAGCATACTAGAGCAGGCATCAGCAAACTTCTGTGAGACCCGCCAAAGGGAAATGTTAGCCTTTGCCTGCTCAGCTGTAACCACTGTGGGGGAAACAGCTGTAAACAGTGGTGCATAAAGGTATGCATGCAACTCTGTTCCAATTATACCTTATTTATGGCTATTAAAGTTGGAGTTTTGTATAGTTTTCACATGAAATTGGTATTCGGTATACTTTTCATGTTACTCTTTTGATTTCTGTCCCCTTTTCTTAAGAATGCAAAAATCCATAAGGACTTTCAGATCATAGGCTGACCCCTGCCCTTGATGAGGAGCATAACGGTAGGCCTTCACTGAGCTGGTCACCACCTGATTACTTCCCCAAACAACTAATTCAGAAAATTCAATTCCATGTGTTGAAAATGAAAATATTAAACTTTAGAGGGGAAAATCCTTGGCAAATATGGAAGTCTGGTTCCTCCAGGATTCTTAGTGAAGGCAATCTTAGCAGTTTGCACCATCCAGGCATGGCTGTTTGCTTGGGATTGATAAGACACAATGGTGACAGCTCTGATAAGGCTCCCAGCTACAAATTCTCACCACTCAAGCCATGGTCCAATCAGAACTGTTGTCAGTAAAGATGGGGTCTGTCAATCTATGTGTTGCAAAAACTACCACAGAGCTGTGATTGTTGCTGGAGATGTTGGAAATGTAATTATAAGCACTTAGAACCATTTTGAGACGGAGTTTAACCCAAGAAGTTCTTTTGATATCAACCTGCAAAATCAATATGGATTTTGAATTGCATTTTGAACTCTTAGAGCCCTTAGCCTAAAATTACCTTGGGCCAATAATATCTAGTGGGGAGAATGTGGGTCAATACTTTTACAGCTGTTTCATTCTTTGTGTTTATCCAGGATACCCAATAGAAATTTAAACAAAGAGGTTACACAAATTCCTTCTGATTATTTTACACTCAAGATGGTCTGATGACCCATCAAAGAAGTAACATTATTCCTCCTTAGAATATATTCTTTGTATAAAACCAACTCATTCTGATGATTTACGACCAACCCTTTATTTCTTCCTTTCCTTTCCTTCTTTTCCTTTTCTTTCTTTCCCTTCCTTCCTTTCTTCCTTCCTTTCTTTCTTTCTTTCTTTCTTTCTTTCTTTCTTTCTTTCTTTCTTTCTTTCTTTCTTTCTGTTTTCTTTTGGTTTTTCTGAGACAAGGTTTCACTGTGTATTTCAGGGTGGCCTTGAACTCACTATGTAGTCTAGGTAGGCCTCAAACTCAGGACAATCCTCCTGTCTCAGCCACCCAGGAATTACAGGATACTCCACCACACCCAAGTTCAAGCCTTTCTTTATTTCATATTCTTACTCTATTCCTTATTTAAGACAGAGACCAAAAGAGGATATTTTACACAGGTAATTTTGTAATATGGTCAGTCAAAAGATGTAAAACATTTGGAGGCCCTCAGACTTTGATGATAAGGTGCTATATTGTCAACCCAGGCTGCCACCATAGACTAGGTGGCTTAAAGGATGAAAATTTATTTATTTATTTTTTTACAGTTCTGGAGGAAAGGTAGCTCAAAATGCAAGCCAGTCCAGTTTCTGGTGAAGACTCCACCTGTCCTACCAATGGCCACTGCTTTCTCACTGTATCCTCACATGGAAGAGGGAGGAAGGGTGATGAGAGGGAAGCAGAGAGAGTGAGAAAGCATTTGGGTGTCTCATTTTGTAAGGACATTCAATCCATGGTTTGGAGCTCCACCCTTCTGACCTCATTGAACCTTAATTACCTTCTTCTGGGTCTTACCAACAAACAGTCAAAATCAGGGTGATACTTTGAAATAGGAAAAGGTCCAAAGGGGTAGGGGTAGTGGGAGGGGAAGGGGAAAGGAAAGAAGGAAAAGGAAAAATTATGAGAAAAGAAAAAAATGGAAACGAAGTCTATGTAAATAGGGAAGGGTAGAGGGGGTGAAGGGTGCACAGGTAATGGGGAAAAAATAAGAACCAAGATACAACATGTACAGGTACAAGCACCCAATGATAAGTATAAATGTATTGTATACCTAAAATGTACCAATAAAAGAATTTAAGGAAAATAAATCAGGTTAAATCTCAAACCTATGAATTTTAGGGAACCCTAATTCAGTCTATAACTGGTACTGTAAAAATTTAATTTCAAGCCTAGCACTGTAGTGCATGCCTATAATACTAGCAATTTCAAAGGGTACGGCAGGAGGATCACAAATACAAGATCAGCCTGGGCAAGTGAAAGAGACCCTTTCTCAAAATAAAAACTGATTGTCCCTGGTACCAAAAAATAAAAAAAATTAAAAAAATAAAAACTGATTGGGGACATAGGTCAGTGGTAGAGTCCTAACATGAGGATTGAGTTCAATCCTCAGTACTGAAAAACAGTCTGTAATTTCTAAGCTTTCCAAAAATTTTTTCAAAATTGAACCTTAGATGAATAGTCAGGTTCCTGAAGCTAAAGCAGACTGTCTGGCAGACAAATATGCTAAGATAGCCATTCTTCTGAAATGCTTCCTCAGCTACCTTATAGTCAGCTTCCTTCTTCAGAGACATGAAGACTAAAGGAAAACTTCCAGTGTTGAATATACAGTGACGTAAGTAAGTATAAAAACATATTCTTATACATTAAGGCCTATTCTCTCACAGCAACCTGTAATTTCCCCCATTATACTACTGGAAGCTAAATCAGCCCACTGGCTGAACACACAGTCCTTACATGAACTTGCATACTAGCACAAGAGAGCTGACATTGCGCTGTCAGCAGATAGGCTTTGAAGTTGTACGTGGTTTTGGTGTGCTGTGGAAACAGTGTGCATGATAGCTTCAGGGACACCCACAAAAGTAGAACAGAAGTCAGTAACTCAGCGGAGGCTTTCCTCCTGCCCACAGTATTGGCTATTTTCAAAAACAGATCTCAGGCTAGTAGCCAGATGCCTGAAATTCAACCAAATTCCTTGGCTATCAGATAGGCTTAGATAGCAGCTTCCCAGGAAATCTCTTCCCTGAATACTGAATACTTCCCCTTGCTCTATCTTCTTCAGAGGCAGAAAAACTCTGTTTAGGGAATCTAAGGCATAACAACTGTAGCACCTGAGGCTGAGAAAGTCAGCTGGAAACAAGCTAAGATTTTATTCACACAGGTGGACTTTGGAGACACCCAGCTGGCCACTTGTTCTCTCCTCCATTCTTTGCAGAAATTTAATCCACACACAGCAAGATTATACAAAATAGCAAATGTTAAAAGTTTCTTCCATAAATATTGGTAGGAGCACTTTGAGTTCTCATATTGGGCAGGGAACCTCAATTTGCACCATCTACTAGAAACAATACCGATAAAACCATAAAGGTAAGGATGAGAACCAGCTCCCAAGGGCTTCTTTCTCCATTGGCAAATGGATTTAATTCAGATCTCAGAGTTTCACAGATAGGTTCATGCTCTGACCATTGTCTGCATGTCTTTAGGATGGTTAGAGGCTTTTCTTCACAAACAATTCGCTGGCACTGCTGTAGCTAAGAATCATCAGTTGAGCAGTTCCTCTGTTCTTCTATAACAGAAGACAACCAGTTCACCAGTGAGGTCATTCAAGATATTCATAAGTACTTTCACTCACAAATATTGTGCCTTCCATAACACCCTCCATCCTCTGGATAAACAGAATGGGCCAAGCAGCCAAACAAGCCAGATTATTTGAGGAACTGAAATTGCCTTACCCCAAAATATTGGCTTAGCCCCAGTGACCCTTCCCTGTCAACACTGATTATCCCTTTAGGAAATAATTACTGTCAGTCTGATGAAGATCCTTACTCTTTCTGATCTTAAGCAACTCTAATCTGATTCAATCTAATATACAATGTTTTGTCAGACCCACTCCTTCATAACACCAGAAGGTCAATTATGTCTTTTCCTAGACTTCATTCCACAGCTCACCCAAGAGCTTCAGGTTAGAGGCCTAGTCTTCTGAAAAAGACCCTGAACCAGATCGGAAGGACCTGACTGACCTCTGAACCACCGACACGGCTGTAAAACTATAAAGAGCACAACCATGGGTATATTTAAATATCAGAATTGAAGCGGAATTGACAGTGGTGTAGATTTGTTCACTCCCTCTTGTTTCCAAATATAGTTGTTTAATGACTATATTATGGTTGTCTTGAGGAAAGAAAGGAGATACGATAGTGTGCAATGGTTAATTTTAAATGTCAATGTGATTGGGCTAAAAGATGTTTGTAAGGCATTTTTTCTGGTGTTTCCACAGGTTGTTTCAAGAAAAGATTAGCATTTGAATTGGTGACTAAAAGAAGAAAATCACCCTCAGCAATGTAGATGGACTTTATCCTATCTGTTATGGGCCCAAATAGAACCAAAAATACCAGAAAAATGCCAAATGTACTCCTTCTGCTTGAGCTGAGCCATCCTTCTTCGCCTGTGCTTGGACATGGGTGCTCCTTGTTCTCAGGTCCCGGGCTTGGACTGGAACTACATCACCTTGGATCCTCTGTTTTCTTGGGCCTCCACCTTGTAGACACAATAGTGGGCCTTCCCAGCCTCCCTAAAGATAGCCAATCCCAATCTTCCTTTTACCCCTCTATCTCTTTTTATATCTCTATATCCATTGATTCCATTCTTCTGGAGAATCATAACACAAGGTCAACCACATACCTTCCTTGCTCTTATCTGAACCTGAGAAAAACAGGCAAAAATCCTCCCCTTTTAACTCTAGCCAACTTCTCATTCTCATCTTATGAGTAATTAGCTAAAATTAAAACCGTGTGTCTCCAGAAATTGATTAGACATTTTCTTTTCAGATAACAGGCTGAGACCTTCCTAGATTGCCAAACAATTGCAAATGTAATTCGCTTATACCTTTTTAACTACCTGTTAGCAAAGTTTAAGGCAATAACACTTTGCGGAAAAACTAATCTTTCACTCAGGAATGTAGTCTTCATTAAAACAGAATGGCCAAGATCAGTCTCTTGGCCAGTTTTTGTCTTTAATGGGTCTGAGGGAGGTGAGGAGAGAAATTTTCATCCTTCTTAGGGATTGTTCAACTAGATTTAGTAGCCAAATCATACAGTCACACACAGTATGTTTTTAGGTAGTCAGGAGAAAATTACCTTTGATCAGTTGAGGCCGATCTTGAGCCAGAGAGCAACTAGGGAGGAGGAGTTTCTGCAAGGAACCTCCAATAAAAGATCAATAAATTATATAGTTATTTTATTATGATTTGCATATGCCTTCTCCAAGATTCATGTTGAAACTTAATTTACATTGTGGTACTACTATTCAGAGGTGGGGCCTTTTGCAAAGTGCATAAATCCCGAGGGCTCTGCCTTCATGAATGGATTAGTGCTGGAGGGAGCTTGCTCAGGACTCTTGCACTCTCTTCTACCATGTGAAAAATATGGCGTTTTGGAAGCAGAGACTAGGCCTTCACCAGATACTGAACCTGCTGTCCTCTTGCTCTTAGTCTTCTCAGCATCCAGCATAAATGAACTAAGATGATAATGCGCAGTCATTTTTATATTTTTTTCTTAATATTGTGTGGTCTTCAATACTCAGTAGGTTATTTTTAATCTTTCATCTTTGTTATAATTGAACTAAGGAGAATTAAAGGAAGAGTCCTACATTTTGTCTGGAGAGAAATGATCAGAAGGATCAATACTCTCTCTGGTAGTGGGTGAAATTAAGCATAAATCTCAAGCAAAGAACTTTGAGGTCTGACTCTATTAACTCTGAATATCTCTATTGCCTAAAAAAAAAAATATGTTGAATAAGGTCAGACACTAGCCATATTGATAGAATAGCTTAAGGAAGTAACTCTGGAAATTCAGCTTTTTGTTTTCCTTACACTGATACAACTAATATGTCAAAATGATTTAGGGCCTCTAAATATGTCTCTGTAGTTCAACGTCTCTTGATACCAGAAATATAAATGCAGAAATATAGACTTAAAGCTAAGAAGTAGAAGCACTGCTCTCTAAGCCTTCTAAACTGCTGCTCTCAGGGAGAAAGTTGTTAGTATCTGTAACACTTTGCAGAAATGCTGCATAACACAGAGGAGGAAGAAAACCATTTCTGGGGGCTATGGATATAGCTCAACCATAGATGGACACTCAGCATGTACAGGGCTCTGAGTTTAATCTCTAGCAGTAAAACAAACCAAATCAAATCAAGACAATACATTAAAAAAAAGGTCAGGGTTCTAAGTTTCTAGAAGTAAGTATTGTGTGGAAAGAGTAGAAGAGAGTCTTTCCTTTTACCATAGACAAGGATGTGTCTGCATCAATAATTTAAACTTCGAGCAACTGCAAATGCAGAGCCTGGAGGATCTCTGCAATTGTTAACTGGCCTCTGACTAAGGATGTTGAGAATGAAGCAGGGCCACACCTCAGAAGATAATAAGAAAGAAGATGGGCAGAACTCCAAAATGAAGAAAAGATACCTAATGACTCACAGTCAGAGAGTCTTTATTAGCAAATTAACCGCAAACCTGTAGACTAATTAAATACTTTATTAGATTAAAAGCATATGAGAGATTATAAATATATGCAAGTATCTTGCCTATATCATGTAGCTTGTGTCCCTATCACTTATTTGAAGACTTTTCTAATTCGAATATAAAGATTGAGAACTGAGTTCACCAAAGCTCACTCATAGCTCAGATAATGAGAAATAAAAACCTCTACTTTCCTTATTCCACCACCATGAATTACTGACATAAGTATAACTTTACTCTGCCGTTGTTTGGATTGCTGTGTTTTGCCAAAACACCCATGCATTCTTCAACAGGAAGCATCAACAGGCAGCTTGCATCTTATGACCACTTGGATGTCTTACTTGCTGTTTTTGCCAATCTCAGACTGTTGCGTCTTAATCTTCAAACAATTCTGATCAGTCTCCTTTGTACTGAAAGAATCATCTTGAATTAAACTTCTGATTCTCAATGAATTTGGATTTTGTTCCCATAGAGAGACATTACCAAAGCATTGTGAAAGTGTGTTTCACCCTTAATGTGGTGAGCAATAAATTTAGCTTTGTCTTATCAACAGATTGTGTTTCATGATATTTGAGGAGCCTAGTTTTCTTAAAGTCTTGGTAAAATTGTTTTGGGCAGAGCAAAATTAAATTCTTAGCTTTCAAGAATATTTACAAGTGATCAATTTGTGCTGGGGTCTTTAAAAGATAAATTGTAACTTCCTTCACCACATGTAAAAGACAGCTACCAATGGAAACAGCTATGAAATATGATGTAATCCTGAGAAGTATATAATCATCTCAGTAACTTTGGTACAGGAGTTTCAAGAATTTATGGCAGGTGAGATACTTACTAGTTTTGTTGACATGTCATGACCAGGGTTATCTTGACTTTCTTCCCCTTGTGTTTATGTATTACATGAACTCTCTTATTTCTGGCCCTCAGGATTCACTGAGGAGTGAATAATTGAGGTCACCTGATGCCACATGATAAGCATGCTCTGACTGATCCTGAACTCTTTTCCTAATGGATTTTGAATAAATTCCCTTAGACTATTATTTTGACAGAAAATGTAGTAGTATCCAATGTCATACTTATTAGCAAAGAATTGTCTTAGTATCTAAATTTGAGCAGGATTATAGGTATGCCAATAGTAAAAAGTGTGTAACTTCTATATGCTTGTATCATCTTGATATATATTCTTTCCCTCCATGCAAAGATTACATTTAGTATTTGTGGCTGAAATGTGATATGTCATCTGTTATTAGTGTCAAATAGTGGTGGAGGTTGAGAGGAAGAGGGTTTATAAATGAAACAAAATTAGCCTTGAAGTAAATAACTTTGAATCTGGTTGAGGATACATGACACTTTAGTATACTGTTCATTCTACTTTTGTATACAATTAAAACTATGATAATACAAAGTAGGAAAGACTTCACACATTCAGTTTGGAAACTGGTCCTAGCAGGTGTGCAGGTTAACAATTGCTTTGATTCATTCAAAAGTTCAAATCTGGTACAGTCAAGAGATACTATTTAAGGATTTTATAGTAATTTCAAATTAGTGCTGAAGCTCTAGGTAGAAAAATAAGTTAAAGAAAAGGAACATTATGGGGCTATTGAATTGTTTTTTAAAAAGGAATGAGTACACCTCAAGATTCCCAGCCTTTATTTAGTCATGCAGTGTTAAGCGAAGCACCAGTTTTAATATATTTTTTATACCATGAGATGGGAGCTCTAAAGATGCCAATTGAAAGAACTCTATATATTTCTTCATAAAATGAAAGGATACAGAATTTTTCTCTAAAGGCCTAGAATCTAGATAATCAAGACAGTATTTCCAGGTTGCAAGCCACACAGTTTCTGTTACAAATACAGTACCCTTCTGCTCTTCCATGGGAGCACAAAACCAGCAATAGATAATGCAAAATAATTTGGCCAGGCTGCATTCCAGTGAAATTTTCTTTATGAAAATTGGCACCAGGCCACATAGTTTATGGAGCTGCAGTTTGCCAATCCTTGGATCAGAGTCTGAGTTTTGGAATTAGACAATCCTAAATTTGTGTCCTGACTTTTCTATATGTTAGCTGTGTGACCTTAGACAATTCACATAACCAGCTCTAGTTTTCTTGTTTATAAAATGGGGAATTATGATGGCTGTCTCATATGAATATATAGTACAGTGCATAGGAGGCATTTAGCTAAGTGCCTACTATTGAAGAATGAATACAAGTGGTACCTTGTTCACGGATTTAATTCTTTCCACAATTCTGGTCACAAACCAAATTGGATGAGAACCAAATCAAATTCAGTGGTTAAGTTCAATGTTGACCTTGTGCAGAAAATTGATTCAGTTCTTGACCAGTGTTCAACAAAAATCATACAAAGAATTAAGTTTGTGAACTAAGGTACCACTGTAGCTATTATTAATCAATGCCTTTTTGTTATTATGTAATTATTATTTACCTCTTACGTAGATTTCAGCATTTTCTTCATCAGAAAGGAACAGGAGATTTTTGGCATTTAAAGCACTGAGACCCAAGTGTAAAAAAGATCTAAGAACAACTACTGTATTCTGATAATCATGCTAGTTTAATCATCAACTGTTGGTGTCATATTGTTGAAGTTTTAGTTGGCTGCTACCACTTTTTATCCAGTTCCAATCCTAAATTTGACCCTCAGTAAGAGAGACACAGGAGTTAGACTTAAATGGAAATTAGAATATTAGCTTTATTTATAACAAAATTGAACTCAACAAATTGGCTTAATAATCTGTGGCCAATGGAGCTTTCAGATATCCTCTTATAATAGCTAGTTTTACTTACCCAGTCACAGACAGTGCTGGACACTCATATGCTTCCCCTTTGCATGAACCAAATCTGCCCCAGTACGTTTTCTTTTTGGTAGAAGAGGTGACCAGAATGCTTGTATCCTTCCAAAAAGCTGGCTCCAAAAGGAATGAGAAGAGTCTGAGCTGGACAGGCCTACTTCCTTCCCGTAATTCACAAATAAATGAGGTCAGGAAGGCTACTAGAGCTGTTATCTTTCTCCAAGAGAATATAGAGGTAGTAAAATAGATTTCCACTAACTCATAATACAAAGTCAACTATGTGCTGGAAATGGTGCAAGGTGCTTTTACTTTGATCAGCCCACAAGAACTTTCCAACTATCTTCTGAGGCAGTCATGAGTGAACTGACTCACAAACTCAGAGTGAGATGTTTTCTCCCAGGTCACTCAGGAAGAAAGTGGTGGAGCCGGAATTCAAATCTATATTTAGTTCCCTGTCTCTAGAGCTCAGCGAAGAATTTCTACCAAACCTGCTACTTCTGAAAACAAAGCAGAAACAAATGCAAATGAACAACAATGCAAACTAATTCCACTCAAATCTTTTGTTTGTGAACACTTATTGATGTATAACCACTACAACATTGTATTTTATAAGTTTCAAATGTACTTAGTAAATCCTCTCTTGGATTTTGCCTATGTCTGTCTTAAAAAAAATCTTATATTTCCTGCTTTTAAAAAAACAGCAGTTTAGAGCTAGCTGCAATTTTCTGACTTATACATCATTCTTCATCGTAAATAACAGTGCCACAGTGCCGAGATTCCATCTACAAATTCCTTCAGCTTCTGAGGATGTAATTTGCTTGGTCTTAGAGACTTAAATTCACTTGAAGTGGCTATGTGCTCTTTTTATTATCTTCTCAACTATCTTGGCTTAGAATTCTCTTTTTTTAAATTGAACCTTTCCAACTTGAAGGGAACTAAATAGAAATATTTTAGTGTTCTACCACCTGTTAATATTATATTCCTTAAAGAGTAATCCTATCCCGTCATTTTTGCTTGTTCTGAACAGTTGAAAAAGACTTATGTCATCCATATTTTTAGAGACCCTTATTCACTTTGGTTTTTCACCTTCCTCTCTATTCTTTGTTCTTGTTCTTGTTACATTTTTATAGTCAACTTTCTGTCTTAAAACATTACATCATAGAATTGATGCATTGATAATTCCACCAAGGCTGTCTATCTTACATCCCAACTTGTTTTCAATATATGGTATTTATATTGAACAATTTGAAACAATTATTAATTTCTGTAAAAGTGTAAGATTTTCTGACATTTTGACAAAATGCTGTCCCCTTAAAATAGTCATACATTCAAAACTTCTGTCAAAACAACCAACAATAGGGCCGGGGATTTAGCTCAGTGGTTTCGCCGCCTGGCAAGGACCCGAGTTCGATCCCCGGTACCAAAAACAAACAAACAAACAGCCAACAAGATCATCTTGCATAATTTGTTTTTAAGCTTTTAA